AAACAAAAAGAGGTTTCTTTGTAGGCCAAGCAGGCGGTGAACTAGCTAGCAGTTTGCCTGCCTCAACTTCCTCAATAGCTAGAATGATTACAAGTCTGTGCCATCACGCACCACATTTGTATTTTATCTTTTTTGGGGGTGGGGGGAGACAGGCTCTCACTATGCCATTCGGGTCATCCTCAAACTTGTTATGTGGACCTGCCTGTTGAACTATGGCTCTTGCCTCTGCCTCCCAGCTGCTGGCCTTATAGGTGTGTACCGCCACACTCAATGTGTGCTGTTGAGATAGCAGCTCACGGTGTAGCCCAGACTAAACTAAAACTACCTGCAGTCTCCTTTTTCAGCCTCCCAAGTGCTGGGGTTACAGCTGTGTACCACCACATGCAGCTAGACTACCCTTTTTAGTCACCCAGCAGTCATGTAGTTGGTAGGGCCCCCCCCACACCCCCCCCCTTTACTTTCCTTTGTTTTTTTGAGACAGGGTTTCTATGTGTAACAGCTCTGGCTGTCCTGGAACTTGTTTTGTAGACCAGACCAGCCTTGAACTCACAGATATCCAACTGCTTTTGCCTCCCAGAGTGCTGAGATTAAAGGTGGGCCACCACAGCCGTGGTTGACCTCTCTCTTGACTAGACCCTGAATAATTACCAGGGCAGATGCAGAGAACCCTGTCTTTGTGTGTGTGTGTGTGTGTGTGTGTGTGTGTGTGTGTGTGCGCGTGTGTGTGTGTGTGTGTAGCTACTTTGCCCCATCTGAGCTGGGCATACCTACTGTATAAGCCAGAGGTATGGTACAGAGTCTGTCCCACAAAAGAGCAGGTGTGGTAGGTAGTGGTAACTTTGGAAGGGGGTGGGTGCATGGCCTCTCCAGGAGGATGTGTGTGCAGAGGATATGCCCACATTGAAACAGCCGCAAGGTGGGTAGAGGAACCGTGCAGGCGGGGAGGCATCATCTACTATTTATTGAGCACCTACTGAAGACCAGGCCCCGGGCGCGCCTGTTGGGCGATGCCCAGCCTCACAACCTTGTGCGGTGTTTTGACCTACTCAGTGCTGTGCACACGCTGGTGCTGAATGAGCTTGGTGCTCTGGTGGAAGCGGCGGCCGCAGTCCTGGCAGGCGAAGGGCTTTTCGCGCCGGTGGGTGCGCAGGTGCTGCGTGAGCGTGGGCCGCTGGCGGAAGGCTTTGCCACACTCAGGGCACGCGTAGGGCCGCTCGCCGGTGTGGATGCGCCGGTGCTGGGTGAGGTTGGCATGCTGCCGGAAGCTCTGGCCGCACTCGGGGCAAGCAAAGGGCCGCTCGCCGGTGTGGATGCGCTGGTGCTCAGTGAGCCGAGACACCTGCGTGAAGCCGAGGCCGCACTCACCGCAGTGGTAGGGCTTCTCGCCCGTGTGGGTCCTCTGGTGGCGCGTGAGCTTGAGTCGCTGGCTGAAGCGCTGGCCGCACTCGGGGCAGGCGAAGGGCTTTTCGCCCGTGTGCACACGCAGGTGCTGCGTGAGCGTGGGCCGCTGGCGGAAGGCTTTGCCACACTCGGCGCAGGCGAAGGGCCGCTCGCCGGTGTGGATGCGCCGGTGCTGGGTGAGGTTGGAACGCTGCCGGAAGCTCTGGCCGCACTCAGCGCAGGCGAAGGGCCGTTCGCCGCTGTGCACGCGCCGGTGCTGCAGCAGCACCGAGCGGCGGCCGAAGCGCTCGCCGCACTCCACGCACCCAAACGACTTGTCCCCAGTGTGCACCGCTTGGTGTTCCAGCAGCACGGCGCGTCGTGGGAAGCTCTCACAGCACTCGCTGCACGGGAAGGGGCCCGGGGGTTCGGGGACTCCGGGGAGGGGCAGGGTGGGGGGCGCAGGGCCGGGCGGATCGCCGTGGATGCGCTGGTGCTGCAGCAGGTTGGAGCGCTGCCGAAAGCTCTGGCCGCACTCGGCGCATCGGAACGGCTGCTCACCCGTGTGCACCCGCCGGTGCTCCTCCAGGCGCGCGCTGCGCACGAAGCCCTGGCCACAGTCGCGGCACACGAAAGGCCGTTCCTCAGTATGCGTGAGCTGGTGGCGCAGCAGGTGAGAGCTGCGACTGAAGCTGCGGCCGCACTCGCCGCACACGAACGGTCGCTCGCCCGTGTGGATCTTCTGGTGCCGCAGCAGATTGCTTCGCTGGCTGAACACCTTGCCACACACGTCGCAGCGGCCGCCTCGGACCGCTCCGGTCCCGGTGCTAGGGCGGCCCCGGCTCCGGCCCTTTGGGGCATGCCAGCGAGTCGCCACCAGTGTTGGGCCCACACCGGGGCAGGGATCCTCGCAGGCAAAGTCCTGTTCACCTTCTGGGTCGCTGGGGAGTGCGAGGGCATGGGCGAAGCCTCCTTCTCGGGAGGGGGACTGCATCTGTCCAGAGAGGCTAGCCATGTCGAGATCCCAGGGAACATGGAGGTGGGGGCTCACCGTATCTGACTCTGCCGCGATGCTGTCCATCTGCAGCGCAAACCCTGCACAAGGGGACCCATTCCTTCATTAGACTCTGGCTTTCTGCCCTAAACCAACGAACTCTGGGAGACTGAACTACAGACCTGAAACTGACCGGTGAAGCAGACAGGAGATGTGAATGGCAGTTGTATCTGAACAGGTTTTTCTGAGGTGGGTGGAATCCTGAGTGAGAACACTGAGGTGTGTGTAAAGGCTTTCCTGATTAGACTTAAGTCGTTGGGGGAAAATAACACCTCTTTGTGAAAGGATTCTGGGGTGATAGTGGGACCCAGTTAGGGTGGGCAGTGAGGGTTGGGAAGAAGCAGAGAATGTAGATTCAATGAAGACCAGAGGTGACATCAACAGGAAGCAGTGGGGGTGGGAATGCAGTTCTTTAGTCTTGGGTTTGGATTTGGCACACTTGAGATGACCAGGCACATCAGAGTAAGGGGATTCCATGTAGGCTTGGGGGTTGCGGATGAGATGAACATGGGAACTGTCTATATAGAAACATGTCCCTGCTACAGAGTGAACCTTCCAAGGTGCAAGCCTGAGGCACAGTGAACTACAGAGTGAGCTTCCAGGGTATGAAGCTAAGCAAGGGATGAGGTGTCCACCAAGGCAACTGAGGCTGGAGACAAAGTGGGTGACAGAAAACCCATGAGGCACCAAAGGGAAGTAAGGTAAATTAGAACGCACCAAAGGAAACCAGAATCAAAAGCCACGCTAACAACTCTCCAGAGACTAAGAGCTAATTAATTAAACTGCAGCAGCTTCGGTCAATCCACAGTGACCTGACAGTCACACCGTGGCAGGATGTGAACAAGAAATAATGTAACTAATTGTTTAAGCTCCACAGAACAGGCTGTTCCCTGCTTAGAAAAATGCACAGTAGGGTTGAACTGACACATTGTTTCCTATTCTCAGCATCCCCCCCCCTCCAGTGATGGAACCTGAACCCAGGAGGTCTCATGTGCTAGGCCCATGTTCTACCATGGAGCTATACATCCCAGCCTGTTTCCACATTCCTTTCTTCTTCTTCTTTCTTTCTTTCTTTTTAACCATTTATTTTTCCATGTGTAGGTGTTTTTGGCTGTGTGTGTGTTTGTATACCACGCCAGACCACGTGGCTGCAGTTCCTGTGGAGGCCAAAGGAGGGGTTGGATTTCCTGGGGCTGGAGTTACAGATGGTTATAAGCTGGCACGTGGGGGCTGGGGATGTCAAGAGAAGCCAGTACACTGCTAAGCCATCTCTCTAGCTTTGTTTCCATAGCAAGTGTGTGTGCATTGCTGGTACAACACAGGCTGGGTTGGAAAATTTAATCAAAATAGCGAGTGGTGGTTGAGTGCTTCCAATCACAGAATTTGGGGGATGGAGGTAGGAGTTTCAAGGTTGTCATCTACTGCAATCAAGTTCAAGGCCAGCTGGGTTACATGAGATACTGTCTTGAAACAAAAACCAAAACAACTCACAAAACCCAAAGCAGCAGTGTTTCACACTGCCCCAGGAATTACGCTTTTAGGTATTTCTGTTTAGTAGCTGTGTTCCTCCTGGTGTTAATGTTTTCCAGTATTTAATGAGAATCAATCCAAAGTGCTGTGGACAAAGGAGTGACCCCAGGGAGCCAGGAGTCTACAGCGCTGTCTGAAGACCTGCAGCCACCCCTGCTGTTTGCCAAGCACATGGCGTGAAAACGGGAATAAGGCCATTTAGGCATCCATGAAGATTTCTTTGTAATTACGTGCATGTACACATGACTGCATGAGCCTATGTGCACCATGTGTATGCAGGTGCCCTACCAGGTCAGAGGTCATCAGATCCCCTAGAACTGGAGTTCCAGGACATTGTGAACATCGTGATATGGGTTTGAAAAGCAGTAAACACTCTTAACCACTGAGCTCACTCTCTAGCCTCAAGTTTTTTTTTTTTTTAAATGTATTTTAAAGCCTATTTATTGGGGCTGGAGAGATGGCTCAGAGGTTAAGAGCACCGACTGCTCTTCCAGAGGTCCTGAGTTCAATTCCCAGCAATCACATGGTGGCTCACAACCATCTGTAATGAGACCTGGTGCCCTCTTCTGGCCTGCAGGGATACACGCAGACAGAACATTGTATACATAATAAATAAATCTTGAAAAAAAACAACACCTATTTATTGGTGTGTGTGTGTGTGTGTGTGTGTGTGTGTGTGTGTGTGTGTGCTTATACTGTAGTGCACATGTGGAGGTCAGAGGACAACCTGTAGGATTTGGTCTTTTCCTTTCACCATGGGGGGCCTGGTGAACCATCTTACCAACCAAGGTTGGTTCATTTTCTATTTATTAAGTCTTTTGAGACAGAGTCTTACTATGTGTTCCTGGCTGTCTTGGAACTCACTCTGTAGACCAGGATGGCCTCGAACTCACAGAGATCCACTTGCCTCTGCCTCCCAAGTGCTGGTTTAAAGGTGTGCATCACTATACCTGGCTTGTTCACTGAAAAAATTTTAAAACATATTTTATGTGTATGGGTGTTTTGCCTGGATGTATGTGTGTGTACCATGTGCAATGCCTGGGACCAGAGGAGGCCAGAGAGGGTGTCAGGTCTCCAGAACTAGAGTTATGGATGGTTGTGAGGCACCCATTCTTTCCAGCCCCAGGGTTGTTCATTTGAAAACACTATTTTTATTTGAGACAGGGTCCGTATATCCCTAGTTGTCCTGGAACTCACAGAGATCCACCTGTCTCTGCCTCCTGAGTGCTGGGATTAAAGGCATGGGCTGTCACCAGCTGGCTATGTTCCAGTATCTTTATTTTAAATTGTGTGTGTGTGTGTGTGTGTGTGTGTGTGTGTGTGTGTGTATGTATATGTATATGTATGTGTGTGTGTGTGTGTGTGTGTATGTGCATGTGAATGCTGTGACATCAGAAGTCAGTGGAGCTGGAGTTACAGGAGATTGTAAGTTTGCCTGACCTGAGTGCTAGGAACCCCACCTAGGTCCTCTGCAAAAGGAGGACACCCTCTTAGCTGCTGAGCAATCTCTCCAGCCCCTCAAACATTTTCTTTTTAAACTTTTCTTGCAGTGAATGGTTGTGCATGCCTATAATCCCAGCACTCTTGGTGTCTGAGGCAGGAAGTCTGACATAAGTTTGATATCAGTCTTGAATACATAGTGAGATTAAGACTCCCTGGTTACACAGAGAAAACTAACCAAAACCAAGAAACCAAACCAAAAAACCCCACAAACAAACAAACAAACTCCAAACTACCACCACTACAACAAAAAGCCCTTTCATCTTTAATATTTTTATTTTATATATGTATGGGTGTTTTGCCTGCAGGTATGTCTGTGTACCATGTGTGTGCAGTGCCTGCAGAGGCCAACAGGATTCTCTGGGACAATTTTGAGCCAACATGTGGGTGCTGGGAATCAAACTCATGTCCTCTGGAAGCACAACCTGTGTTTTTATCCACTGAGCCATCTCTCTAGTCCCATAAAAATTCTTTCCACCTTTCTGCTTTTTTTTGTTTTAAAACAAAACAGGTTTCACTATGTAGCTCTGGCTGGTCTGGAACTAGACCAAGCTGGCTTTAAGTTCACAGAAATCTGCTTGCCTTTGCCTCCCTGGTGCTGGGATTAAAGGCCGGTGTTACCATGCCTGGTTTTCTTTGTGCTTTTGAAACAGTGTTTCACTCTGTATCCTAGACTGGTTCTACTTGTATTTATAAAAGACTACCAAGCACCTGGCTGTTTAGGTATGTGTTGCTTAACTAAAGGGAAAACTCTCGAGAACAGGGTCATCAAGTGGTTTTTGGCTTTTACATTAAAATATTTTTGGTGTGTGTGTCTATATGGCCATGTGTATGCCATGGTGCATATGCGGAGGTCAGAAGACAATCTGTGGGAATGAGTCTCTTTTTCCACCATGTGGGTCCCAGAAATTGAAATCAGGTTATCAGGCTTAGCAAGTACTCCTCTTGAACTATCTTTCAGCCCCAGCTTTTTGAGACAGGATCTCACATTGTAGTCCAAGCTGGCCTTGAAGACATGGCAATCCTCCAGTTTCTGCCTACCTCCTGCCTCCACCTCCCAAGTGCTAGGTGTGTAAGACCATATCTAGCTTTGGCAATATCATAAGATAATTGTTATTTGTGATCTTCGTTGACCAACAACACACTGTTATGCAGTATATGGTTATATTGTGTCTGCTTTGCATATAGGTTCTTTCTGGAAGGCAGAGAACTTGTCATGTTGCTGCTGGGCACAGATGGGGCAGGCGTTGCACTGTGTACTCTTCGTACACCTTTTCGAGTTTTCACCATGTGGATGTATAACTATGGATGTTGTTCTGAACTGGTCTAACCTTGTGAAACAAGCTTGCTTTTGCTTCATGGTAGGCTGGGTTCAGGGCAAGGAAGCTGCCACATCTGAGCAGGACTATTAACTGCTAACTATGTAGAATCCAAGCCCTAGCTGCAAAATGTAGATGCCTGTTTAGAATGGGTGGTCCTGTTGAGCCATTTCTGACTCAAGATAAGACAAATCATTACTGTCTCAAGGCTTGGCGGTTGCTAACCAGGTCACACCTCAAATGCAGTTGTTGCAGGGCTCCAGGACACTGAGATGCGCTTAACATGGAGACTCACTGCTACCCAAAGCAGCCTGTACAATGGCTCTTTGAAGACAGGCTCTTTTTACTGTCTTGTCTGCTGAGCTACCACCATGTATCAAATTACTTCTGACTTGTGTCTTTAATGAATTCATTTGTATCTGCATGTTACCAGCCTGTTAATACTGTCCCTTGCATGATGTTAATATTTAAAATAGTGGGCTGGAGAGATGGCTCAGAGGTTAAGAACATTGGCTGTTCTTCCAGAGGTCCTGAGTTCAATTCCCAGCAACTGCATGGTGGCTTACAGCCATCTATAATGAAATCTGGTGCCCTCTTCTGGCATAAAGGCATACACGTGGGTAGAACATTGTATACATAATAAATAAATATTAAAAAAAATTAAAATAGTATCATAATGAAGCACTAAAAAGATCTCTGGGAGTATAGCTCTAATAGTAGACTGCATGTTTAGCATGTGCAAAAAACCCAGGGTTCAACCCCTTGTTCACAAGTCTGTGTACAGAAATACAAACATGCACGTACATGCTCGAGCATGCACATGCACGAGCATACACACAAACACACACCACCTCCACCACCACCTCCACCACCACCACCAAATCACCAAATCACCAACAGAGCTGGGATGTCTCAGCTTGTAAAGTTCTTGTGGCATGCATGAAACCCTTGGTTTTATCCACACCACTGCCTAAACCAGGAGAGGTATCCTGCACCTATAATCCCAGCACTTGGGAAGTAGAGGCAGGAGGATCAGTTGTTCAAGGTCCATCTCAGCTATATGTCGAGTTCCAGGCCAGCCTAGGATATAGCAGATCCAGTGCAAAACAAAACAGGACCCTCTCTCAATAACCAAAACTCTGGCCTCCACAAAAGGCACAGCTGGAGGATGAGGCAAGCCGCCAAGGGGCATGACAGGAGTCATGGAGGCGAAGATAAATTGATGCTTGAAAGCAAGAAGTATGGTTGTCTACAGCAAGAGCAGGCCAAGGAGGGAGCAGCCAAGGGGCTGGAAGCAGTGTGCCTGCAATAGAGCTGAGAGACTGCAGTTGTGGATGAAGAGAGGAGCAGGGCCAAGCAAGACCAAGTGGTCCCTGTGCAACACAGGCAGGGCTGGTCAGGCCAGGGGAATGCCGAGGCACCGGGGGCTTGTGATGGATGTTCTCTTCTGCCTCAGTGTGCTGCCAAGCCTGATGATCTGAGTTTGAGCCCCAGGATCCTCATGACACAGAGAGAAAATTGACTCTTGCCAGTTGTTGTCTGAACTCTACATGTGTGCTCTGACACACATACACATGTTCAAATACACACAAAACAAAGAGGAGTGGTGGTGGTGGTGGTGGAAAACTGGAGTGGTAACATTAAAGGACCATCACATCATGCTCCAAAGAAACATTTCAAGGCAATTTCCTACTAGTGAGATACGTGAATTTCAAACAGGACTCATCAACAGCAGAAATTAAAACAAAAAACAAACAAAAAAGAAGCCTGAGAATGAGTCCAGCAGAATAGTTCTGGGGATGGGGGTACAGCTCAGTGGTAAAACTCCTATGTAGGAGGGGCTAAGGCATGGCTCAGTGGTGGAACAAATACCTAGGTTCCACCAGTGAGAGGCTGAAGGCATGACTCAGTGGTAGAGATCTTGTTCAGAATCCATCAGTGGGAAGCTGGGGGTGTAGCTCTGTGACTGTGCTTGCCTGGCATGCCCGATCCCTGAGCTCCATACCCAGTATGGAAAAATAAACCATCTCACCAGGGCTAGACAACTATCTGAGGCTATCCATAACCTCTCCAAATTTTACCTCCCATACCAGGATTCAGAGGATGATGCACTCACACAGGGAAGTAAATCCAGGAGGAGGAAGACTGGGCAGGGTCCTGCCTGGTCCATCCTCAGCAGCTGGCTGTTCTGTATCACAACTGCTCTTGCCTTGTCTACTAATAAGCTTTCCTCACCAGGTCCCAAACTTCCCTGCTCTGGTCTCCAACATGCAAGATGGAGACTGGAGTCTGGAGGCCACGTGCAGAATCCCACGACTGGGAACAGGATGTGGGTATGGGGAACACGAGGTCTGTTTTCAGGAAGGTATTATGATACAGGGCCAAGTCAGGAGGAGCCAAGGGGTCTGTGGCAGAGAATGCTAACGCAGGCACTACAGTGATAGGGCTGTCTTGAGTAGGGACAGAAGGATTTATGGGTGTAGGTGATGACGAGGAGGGCTCAGTCCCACTGTGTCTATCTCACTAACCTGGTGAGAAGATGCCCCCTACTTCCTCATGCCACAGGGCCACAGGGTCCTCACTCCATGGGGGCACATCAGGCTCAGTGTCGCTGTGAGGAGAGGTCTGGTCCAGTGCTGTCCCATGACCCTGAAACCACAGTTGGTCGCTGTTGGACTGTGCTTGGCTAGGCTCACAGGACCTATCTGACACCCACCCATTACAGGCTCTTAGGGCAAAGGGTGCCTCACGTTCTGTGTGGGGCTCACCTGGGCCTCCTTAGGTAGGAGAGCAGCTGTCGCCTCTTGGGCAGGAGGAGGAGGCCCAGACTCCAGGAGCTCTGAGGAGAAAGAGTGGGGTCAGGCAGCTCAAGAAAGTTCCCACCCTTCCTGGTGGTGCTACGTGCTGGGTTCCAGACGTGAGGGAGACAGGGATAGGAGCTCAAGGCTGGGAAGGACGAGGCGGGGTAGCTGAGGGCTCAGTTGGGAATGGGGTCAAGCAGGGTTTTCTGGAAGGCAAGCAGAGGAGACAAGTGCTGGTTTGTGCCTCTGCATCGCCGTGGGTCCCGAGGCAGCCTGTCCCACGATGCTTGGGGAAATGGGGATGGGGATGGGGAGTCAGAGATAATGTCTGTGCTGGCTAGACTGCAGGTAAGAAGAGGGCCATAGGTGCTGGAACTATTTCATCAAGCTAGGCCTGGCTCAGTGGAGTGCAGACAGCTCTGCCCAGCCATGCCCACTTTGCCTGCTCTCACCTGGATTCTCCATCACCTCTGTCTCCTCTTTCATTTGAAGGTCCACCGGCAATTCCTGCATGACCCCAGGGGGAGTTTCAGCCCCAGGCTCTGGAGTTTGGAGCTTGATGTGAGGTATAGGCTGGAAGCTGGAGGGTTCCATCTTTTCTGATAGGACCTCCTTTCCCTGGACCTGGACGGTGACCTAGGGAGATGCACCGAACAAGGAGAGAGCGGGGCTGGTCCATGGGCACCCACTCCACTGCAGGATTCCCTGGTCAGTATACACTGACTAGGTCCTCAAAAGTCCCAATCCTCCCCCTTCCCTTCCCTTGACCCTGAGCTCAAAGCAAAAGGACTGTTTGCTGGCACAGGGCTGCCTGGTACCCTTTGTGTCTCATCCAACTCGGGGGATGAAGGTAATGCAGGCATGGGCTCTTATCGTGAGCAGCCACACAAAGGATCCCCGTTGCCTGTTGGACACTTCCATATGACCAAGGAGCAAGTCTGGCTGGGCATAGGACTCCCAGAGTGAAGCAGAGCTTGACCAATGCTCTAGCCCTGACCTTCCACTCAGCTATTGACTCACCCATTTCCGAGGCCCATCCAGCTCCCATTGAAGGCTGTCAACCAAGGCAGCAGCCTCTTCAGGGCTGCCTGGCCACTGCCCTTGCACACGGGTCTGGATCTCAGGAGGCAGTGCACCTAGAAACTGTTCCAACACCAAGAGGTCCAGCATCTGCTCCTTGGAGTGTACCTCTGGGCGAAGCCACTGGTGACACAGCTCTCGGAGCTGGGCCAGGGCTTCCTGAGGACCAATTGCCTCTTCGTATCGGAAGCACCGGAAGCGTAGACGTGCAGCCTCAGGGCCCGGGTCCCACAGAGTGCCTTCTCCCTCCTCCTCAGAGTCCTCCAGCTTCACCACAACCGGCTCATTTTCTGGGGGTGCACGGCCTGGGGAGCCCAGCACAGTGGGTCTCATCAGGAGTACCAGATCAGGTCTCAGGCCAGTGTCTGTCCCTAGGGAAGGAATAGTACGAGGCATCTGGAATAAGGACAGACAGTGGCAGTGAATGCTGACTGAGTGCCTACTGTATGCTGCATTGTTTGACCCTGAGATCTTCTCCATGCAGAGGACACGCGAGGGAACAGGTTCTGTGACAGGCCAGCCACACCCCAGAGACCCGTGTAACTCTAGCTGAGCAGCTTGCTTTGCTGATCTCCACAGCTGGGCCTAAGCAATGTCTGGTAGGTTCCCCTGTTCTATGTAGAGGCTGCTGCGTGGGCTCCTCCCTAAATCCTATTCTTTTCATCTCTCTTTCCTAAATTCTATTCTTTTCTATAGCAGCAGCCTCATCCCAGCAGCTGCCGCTTTACTTATATCCGGGCATTCCTGCCACTGCTGCCTCCTCTTCGACTCCCAATACCGTCCTGTTAATGTTTTCTATCCAGTCTCGGACTTGCTCTTCTCTCAGGCCCCAGCATTCCCCTCCCAGTGTGGTCTCAAAGAGATAGCTGCCTTTCCACGATTCCTCTCCAACACCTGAAGCTAACTCATCACATTTAGCAACGATCCATTTCTTCAGCTCTCTAATTTAGCTGGGGTTCCGAGGTGACAGGGGCACTTCTGAGGGCCCTCAACGGCCCCCAAATCACTGGAGCAATAGTCTGCAAGGAAGGTTCGAGATGCTGACGCCTCTGTGCCTATGTGAACTGCAGTTTCCTCACTGGTGAAAAGGCTGACTTCCCCTCCCTACATACTTTCTGCAATTGGGACTTCGTGAAAATCTGAATTTATTATAGGGATGGCATCAATTTAGAAGCAGTTTGATTTCTGCGGGTCACACGTCTGCGCCTCAGGGTGCCGAGTCAACTCTGCAAGAAATAGCAGCTAAGCAAGTAGAGGAGGTTCCGGAAATACATTTCCCAGAAGTCTCCGCGAGCACCACCGCTCTGCCTAAGTGACCAGTCGCCGCCGTGGCGATTGACGAGCTCGCGTGACAGCACAGGGCCCGCCTGCAGGGAGTGTTCGCACCCCTGCCGGGGCTCTAGGTATATAGCTGGGCAGCTGGAATCCCAGAATCCACTACCCCTCCTCATCGCAGTCCCCACCCCTCCTCAATCCCCTCCTGAGGTTTTGCGGTGGAGGGACTCCCAGTTTCCCTTCAGTGCACCGAGAGCGGCTGCGCGCTTCTGAACATGCGCACTCCCGTTCTCTTCCTCCAGGATAGACTACATCTCCCAGACTACTCCGCGCGCAGCTCCAAGCCCTCCTGCCCTTCCCCCACCCCCGCCTCCGTTTCTACCCTTCTTCCAGTCCCCAGGGGATTGCGCTGGTCGCAGCGATCAGGTCGCACTCCTGGCCGTCTCTTCCCACACTCCCCGTCTCGAATCCAGGCGTCAGGGCCCCGTCGATGTGCGCAATCCTCTCGGGGGGCAATGGATGGCAGCACCACCTTCCAGACAGCGCATGCCCCCCACCACATTTTTGTCAATTCTCTGCAGGCCTTCCCAGGATTTGCAGGGTTCTGCACCAATCACCGCTCTCACTAGGACGCCGTCAGCCTCCTCGTCTCCATGGCAACCCTGGTTCGGGAGGGGCGTTCCCTCTGCTACCTCCTGAACTGCTGAGTGAAATGTTCAGCTAGATGCTTTCTGGGAGTCGTAGTCGGCAGGGCACTCCGTGTGTGCAAGCGCAGCACCACCCGACTTCTTTAGAATTTCTGCGCGGTGGGTGGGACTGAGCAGGGCTCCATGGTAACTGGGGGACCAAACTTGGTGATTTCCCGGGTAACGCCCGGACTACCTGGTTTAGGAAAGGCTGGCTGTCCGGTTCTGTGGGGAGGGAATGGGGAGGGGACAGGGATACCAAATACCCAGCGAGATAGTTATGAAGGTAAGAATTAGGGAGGCAGAGATATCCGCACACAGAGTCGAGAGCAAGAGGAGGAGAAGGGCCCAAAGATTGCGGGGGCGGAGACTGGATGAATATAAGTGAGCACAACACACCGGGGATACAAATCTGAATGAAAGGAGGTGGAGATTCATTCATTAGAGTCAGAGAATTAGGACCTGAGGCATGTCAGGAAATTTAGGGTGAGGAAGAGAGAAACAGGAAAGGATTGGGAGTAGGAAGTTGAGACATGGAGATTCTAGCTATCGACTCGAATACAAAGGTGAGCAGGGATAAAAGACGGAAAACAGTAAGAGGGACTGAGAGGTTTCAAAGACTGAGAAAACGATGACAACAGAAAGAGACAGAGGGTTGGGTGTGTGCGCGGGGGAGACGTTTTAAGAGAAAATTTATAGAATATTTGACAATACACCAGAAAGATGACTGGGAGCCCTCTAGTTTCCTCGCATCATTTACCAAACTAATTTTGGGACACCTGACTATTTAAACGTAGCAGTTTTTTTTTTTTTTCTTCTTCTTGTCTTTGAAGTCCACACACTGTTCTAGTAGAGACTTGAAAGAAGCTGATGGGTTGCGAATGAGTTCTGCCAATACATCACCTGGAAGGTAGCTAAATAGCTAGCGCTGTATGTCTACAGCCAACCTTTTGTTTTATTTCAGATCCATTGTTTGAATCTTCCTGGAACTACCCTTGGTACCTTTCTGGTTCCCTTGAGGCACATAAATTTTTAATATATGTCCTTGAGAGTCATGGTTTTATTTATATGTATTTATTTTAGTCAGGGTCTCACTGTGCTGTCCTGGAACTCTCAATGTAAACAGAGTAGCCTCATACTTAAAAGATCCCCCTGCCCTTGCCTCTCCAGTGATGGGATTAAAGGCTTGTGCCACGGCCACTGTGTCCAGTCTTTTGGTTTTGGTAGTGTCTCAAGAAGCCCAGGTAGGCCTCCAGCTCTCAGTATAGCTGATGACCTTGAACACCTGATGTTTTTGCTTTTACCTTGGAGTTCCTGGGTGGTGAATATTAACATCCCAAAAGGGAGGAATAGGAGACAGCAACGGAGCAGCGGACCAGAGTGAGGCTGGAACCTAACCAGAAAAACAAGAAGTCTTGTAGCATCGTGTCCAGCACACTGTGTTGGTCTGATCTGAGCTTCACGGTCCTGGGCAGCCCCTACCCATAGGGCCTTACTGTTTGCAGCCCAGGTGGCCTCTTTCTTATGCTGGCTCCACTCATTTTCTGTGTCTTTTCTCAGCAGACATACATACCATGTGCTGTGTTCTGTCTCCAACATTTTGGCGTCTTTCCCTTAGAGCATCACACATTGCCCTCTTGTGGTAGGAGGAGGAGTTGTCGTCTCCCAAGGGCTAAAATGAAGAAAACTACAAAAAAGCAGTTTCCTGGTTAGTGTTCATGCATGTACACATGGGCTGGTCAGCGCCTTCCTATGGCCAGGCACACTGACCACATCTCTCCTGTAACCCGTCTCTTTGCCCTCTTTTCTCATTCTAGCCATTACTACTTAGTAGTTTAAAACATCCGATCAAAATGCATATAGGCATATATGGAAGACAAAAATGCATAAAAGCCTCAACCCTATAGCATTTGGGGCTCTAGCCTTTGGATACAAAGCCTGATGACTGATACAACAAACTACTTCCTGATAAAAAAAGCCTTAAGTTCTGGCTTCTTTTCTTTCTTTTTAACAGTATTTAGAGTTCCTTTTTTTTTTTTTTTTTTTTCAGATGCATTCATTTTCTTTAATGTGTATTCGAGTTTGAGTGCTTGGTGCCTTAGGTCATAAAAGACTGTCAGAAGTGAGGTGTTTGATCCCCTGGAACTCGAGTTATGGATAGTTGTGAACCACCATGTGAGTGCTAGGAACTAAACCCGGGTCCTTTACAAGAGCAACAAGTACTTTTGTTTGTTTGTTTGTTTTATTTTTTGATTTTTTTGAGACAGGGTTTCTCTGTGTAGCTTTGGAGCCTGTCCTGGAACTCACTCTGTAGACCAGGCTGGCCTCGAACTCACAGAGATCCACCTGTCCCTGCCTCCCGAGTGCCTCCTGGGATTAAAGGTGTGCGCCACCACCTCCTGGCCAAGTACTTTTTTTTTTTTTAAGATTTATTTTTTTACTATTTTATGTGATTAAATGTTTCACCTGCATGTACATTTGTGTGCCATATGCATGCTCGCTGCCTGAGGAGGTGGTGAGCCTCCATGTAGGTGCTGGAAATTGAACCCATGTTCTTCACAACAATAAGTGCTCTTAACCATTGAGCCAACTCTACAGTCCCTGCAACAAGTACTATTAACCTCTGAGCCATCTCTTCAGCCCCAGGGTCTTGCATTTGAAAGGCTGCAACTCTCTTAAGGGCTGCATATAGGGACTCTGACCCTACTATACATTGCCTGGACTCCTAAGCTATCCTTTGAAATCTGGTTGTGAGCCTTCATGACTTGCAGTCTGCATGTTTGAAAAGCCAGTATTATGTGCCCGGTACCATCTGGAGAGGTGCCATGACCCTCTTGGACTGTGGTTGTAGCAACCTTTGAGCACTTTGAGCAACCTTTGAGCCAGTGATGGATGGGTGGTGTCTGGCCATTTTCTGAGACACTCTCAAGACATCGTTCCTATTGTCCCAGTGAAAATCACCCCCTCTTAAGCCTCACCACTGCTTAGACTGTATCTCACTATGTAGCCCTGGCTATGAAGGGGTTAAACTCTCCCACTTTCACAACTGAATTTAGGTTCCAGTTCTCTGAGAAGGGCAAACAGGTGTCTTTTCCAACAAAGGACCATTTATCTACAAGGCCCTTACATTCAGGGTCCAGGGAGAGACTAACACAGAGGGCCTCACAGTATCTCAAGGACTAATCCAGCAGCCCCCTTCTGAGTCTCGTCCAAGTTTGTGCAGATGTGTCCAAAGATGATAAAACTAAACCTCAGCCAATTAAAAATATACGAATGTAACTGCTGCTTGCTTAACCAATTATGTAACTGACCCCTGAAACTCCCCTTAGCTGTGGTTAAAGAGCCTGCGTGTTTATCTCAGGGTTGTTGCCATTTTGCACAGGTGACCCCACATGCATGCTGGTATAACAAACACTCTTTGTGGGGGCTGGAGAGATGGCTCAGCGGTTAAGAGCACTGGCTGCTGTTCCAGAGGTCCTGAGCTCAATTCCGAGCAACCACATGGTGGCTCATAACTGTCTGTAATGAGATCTGGTGCCCTCTTCTGGCCTGCAGGGATACACGCAAACAGAACACGGTATACATAATAAATAAATATTAAAAAAAGAAATTGTATTAAAAAAATAAACGCTCTTTGATCTTGCATACTATTTGAGCCTGGGGTCTTCCTTCAGCATTTCCTCGGACCCTACAGCTGTCTTGGAACTCACTTTGTAGAGCAGGCTGCCTTCAAATTCACAGAGACCTGCCTGCCTTTGCCTCCCAAGTGCTAGCATTAGTCATGCACTACCACACTCAGCTTGCTTGGCCTCTCTTTAATGGGGTAAATGTAAGTGTGTTTACAACCATTGATTTACCCACAATTTTCAATTCAACACTTTCCTGGTAAGGGCTTTTTTCCTCTCTCTCTGAGACAGAATTTCAATATGTAGCTCTGCCTAGCCTGGCCTGGATCTCTGTGTGGATCAGCCTAGTCTGGAACTCACACTGATCCACCCGTCTCTGCCTCCCCAGCATTCAGATTAAAGTCATTTGCCTCCATTCCTGACCAAGACTGCATTTAAAAAAATAAGGCTTATTTGTGATTGATATGTGTGTGTCCCACACACATCATATGTAGGTTTCCACACAGTCAGAAGGCTGGAATCTCTTGGAACCGAAGTTAGAGGTTGCTGTGAGCAGCCTGGCAAAGGTGCTGGGAACTTTATCCAGGCCCTCTGGAAGTACTCTTTAACCACTAAACCATATCTTCAGCCCCAAGACTAGACACGTTTTTAAAAATCATTCTGTTCTGTGTTTTTTGTTTGCTTGTTTCTAGTTTTTAGCTGGTTAAAAGCAGCCAGTAATAAACATAGCATAATTAGAATCCAGTATGCTGTAATCTTAGTTAGCATGATTATTACTGTGATAAAACACCACGATTAAAAGCAAGTTGGGAGAAAAGAGTTAATTTGGGTTACACTTCCACATCACTGTTCATCATTATAGGAAGTCTGGTCATGAACTCAATGGGAGTATGGGGGTCTGAATCTGGTGTTGTGTAACAGTTTCCTCTGAGATGGAAACATTCTATCCTTCAGGGAAACTACTGAAGCAGGAAGGTAAACAAATCAAAATAGCTTCAGGAAGTCCCTGAATCTGGCCAGACTCACTAGCAGTACTCCCCGCGCCCCAGTAAACAATAAAAGCCAGAGAGGATAAGGACAAAGGAATCTGGGCTTCAAAGAAAAGAAAACTCTTAGACAAACTGAGCTGAAAAGACTGAGACCAGACCTGCTGCCGGGAAGAGGTTTAGACCAACTGAGGCACTTGGAAAGGACACTCTTCAACCTGTTGAACTATTTTCAGGCTGTGTGGTGTGGTCCAGGTTCCCAGCTTTGTGAACTGTCACCCATGCTGGGATGGGCTTTGGTGATACAGCTGTCTTTGAGTCATTTCTGCTTCTGTAAGTGACTCCTCAGCCATATTCCTGTAAGTAACCCCGATAAAACTGATGGTTCACCAAGATGGACTTCATACTTTGATCTGTAGTGGACTTCCCATCTGTGCATGTAGTGTATGCTGTATGCATATGACAAAACTCCCCAGGAAGTTTTGTTACATGCAGGAGTGATGCAGGGGCCAAGGAAGAGTGCTGCTTTATGGCTTGGTCTACATGGCTTGCTCAGCCTGCTTTCTTATCGAACCCAGGACCAATAGCCCACAGGTAGCACCACCCACAACAGGCTGGGCTGTTCCCCATCAATCACTAAGGAAATGCCTTACAGGCTTACTACCTACAGCCCAGTTTTACAGAGACATTTATTTTCTCTATTGAGGTTCTCTCCTTTCAGATGGGCTAGCTTATGTTAACTGAAAACTAGCTAGCACAGATGTCTTGAACTTTCCACTACCAAATCAATTAGTTCATCACCTTTAAACTCAGCCTCAGATGTCCATGTGCATGCTGCGGCATATTGTTATGTGACATTATTCCTAGGAAAACATGGAACAATATTGCTCACCTCAGATAGGGAGCCAATGACTCAATCCCAAAGAAGGATACAACCAAAGTCAAACTTGGTGAACTAATGATTTTTATTTGGGTTACTTTCAGGGCTTTGGGTGAGGAGTTACTTATAGGGCCAGATGTGACTCAAAGTCAGCTGCATCACCAAAACCTACCCTGGCATTCGTGACCGTTCACAAAACTGGGAACCCAGAGCCCACTGCACAGACTGCAGGCAGCACAACAGTATCCTCTCCAGGTAGCTTAGCAGATTCCCGCTTCTTCCAAGCAGCTCAGTGGGTCTGAAAGTCTCTCAAAAGTCCTTACAGGTTATATATTCTTGGAGAGGGAGTGAGTCTACTGCATCTGGTCAGTTTCAGGGACTCCTTTGTTTACTTCCTGATTTTAAGGAGCTTCCCTATGGGATGGAATATTTCAGCCCCCTTTGGAACATTGTGTTGTTTCACATTTTTCTTTCTTTTTCTTTTACTTTATTTAATTCATTTTGTGTGCATTGGTGTGAAGGTGTCAGATCTGGAGTCACAGACAGTTATGAGCTGCCGTGTGGGTGCTGGGAATTGAACCTGGGTCCTCTGGAAGAACAGCCAGTGCTCTTAACTGCTGAGCCATCTCTCTAGTCCCCACTTTCAACTTTCAGGTCTTTTCTAACATCCTGTGTCTTTTTTTTTTTTTTTTTTTGAGACAGGGTTTCTCTATAGTTTTGGAGCCTGTCCTGGACTAGCTCTGTAGACCGGGCTGGCCTCAAACTCACAGAGATCCATCTGCCTCTGCCTCCTGAGTGCTGGGATTACAGGCGTGTACCACCACTGCCCAGCCATCCTGTGTCTTGAAGAGCTTACTTTCAAAAACAGAAGGTTTTAATGCTGGAAGAGATGGCTGTACTACACCTATGTGCACCTGCACTCACATGCACACACGCAATGCTCAAACACTCATAGGTACACGCACACATGTGCACACACACCCATGAACTACTAAGATTGACAACAATAAAAATGAACAGTATGGTGGCACATGCCTCTCATCCCAGTACTCAGGAGATGCGAGTGAGGAAGATAATGAGTTCAAGGCCAGCCTGGGCTACAGGAGACCCTTCTCAAAAACAAATACCTCCCCAAATAAAGGCCTTCCCTCAACAACACCAAACTAACTTAAAATCAGAGGTGAATCCATTACCATTACAGAACATACATACAGACACCAGTTGTGGAAACAGGCAGAGTCCAGGAACATCATATGTAGGATAAAAGGGCCAGGAAAAGGCCACCCTGACCCTGACTTGACCCCAAGCACAAGCCATAGGCCAAAGGAAAAGTACCCTGCCCCTGGCTTGACCCTGAGCTCATAGACTTGGAAATCCCTGCCCGTGACTCAGCATTAATGCCCAATGTTTCCTATCCTCAGCATTAACAGCCAAACAATGTTTCCTCTCCTCTAGATACTTTACCACTAAGTTCACTGGGAGTTCACTGGGCGTGTTGCAAAAACCCCATAAAAGCCTTCCCTCTATGCCGCCTTGTCCATCTCTCTTTCCCCTTAGAGGCAGCTGCCATTCTGTTCTTGTTCCCAATAAATAGCTTGTGTGAGGTTGGTTACGTGGTGTGACCTTGTGCTATTCCTTTGTTCCCGATGGCCAGGATGGTTTTGCACCAAGATGCCCTTGTGCTGGAAAACTCTTACACCACCCATCCACTTCAGTTGTCTTCTGTTAGTGGATCTCTGAGGACAGTGCTTACTGCCGCCAGGAGGGATGTGTGACAATAAGTAAAGGGTCTGCTAACCAGGAAAATAGGTGTTTGTTTTTCATTTTTCAAGACAGGGTTTCTCTATAACAGCCCTGGCTGTTCTGGAACTAGCTTTGTAGACCAGACTGGCTTTGAAATCACAGAATCCACCTGCCTCTGCCTCTGCCTCCACCACCACCACACCTGGTTTAACCTGGAAAAATTACCAGAGAGATGTAGTAACTGGTTTTCTTTTTCTTTTCTTTTCTTCCCCTTCCTCCCCTTCTTCCCCTTCTTCCTCTTCCTCCCCTTCCCCTTCTTCCCCTCCCCCTTCCCCTTCTTCCCCCTCCCCTTC